GGGTCTCAGCTTTCCCCTCTGTAAAATGGGGGTTATTTCTCAGACTCTATGAGTCTCTCTGCAATCCCCTTCCCACCCTACTCCTTCCAAAGCGTGGCAAGGAGTGGCTGGGGCAAGCAGCCAGTGGGGAGGGGCCTCTCACAGATAGGCTCCAGGTCTTTTCTACACTGGATGACTCTACACTGTAAGTGTGTATGTACACACATAAGTTCCCAAACTTATTTGACCTACTGCCCCCTTTAAAAAAACTTCTCAGTGCTCCCCCTGGAAATCTGCTTTCTTTAACCCTTTAACTTTTTTTTTTTAATTTGTGTCATTTAAAAATATATAAAATATTTTTTTAAAATGATGGGTATTAAATTTAAAATTTATTGTAAATATATTTTTCTTTCTGCATTAAAATTTTGATGACCCAATATTGTTCCATGAAACTATATAGTATTATATTGTAAACAAGTCATTACATGCACATATTCCTGCAAATGCATGCTGGACTTCCAGACAATGTGAGACATGCTGGCCTGCCAACACTTGCTTGTTAAGACCTGTTGGCAGACTTGACCATTGATTGGTTATAACTTGCATTTTGTGTGTTTCCTTGGAAAATAATGTAATCACTACGACTTTAACTCTATTACACAACAGATGAAACATGTACGAATGGTTTTTCAAAATGTTCTTATTTTCTTTTCTTTCCTTATGCTTCCACTGCCCTCTTATTTTTATTCAATGTCCCAGTTGCACCTGAGGCTACTACCACCCCGCTGAATCATTCCAACACCCCCCCCCCCCGGCAGTATTGACCACTTTGAGAGCCTATGTATCTACACAATCTGGGTTAGTTTTGAGCTGGCTCCTTCCTAGGCAGATAGGTGAAGTAATAGCTTGTGTTTAGATATGGTCTTAAGCTTTGCAAAACACTGTCCCTATTTCTGATTTTCCCAACAACACTGTGAGGTAGGTACTATTATTATCCCCATTTTATAGAGAAGGAAACTGAGGTTGAGCTATTTATCTGTACAGAGCTTATTTTTTGTATAATTGTTTGCATGTTGTCTTTCAGTCAGTCAATAAACGTTTATTGTCTTCCTACCCTGGTACTACACTGGCAGAGGGGTGAAGTGAGCTCCCTCTTCCTCCCTCTCCTGTACCCTTTTGTATACCTCAAATGCCCCCTCATCCTATCTCCTTCCATTGTCCCGGTACCTCACACTTTTAATCCAAGATCAAAACCAACCTTCACCTGACATTCTCCTCCCCTCCAGCTGTTCTCTATTTCCCCGGGTTCTACTCATCGTTTCCTGTTCTTTTTTTTTTAAACCACATTGTGCAGTTACTTCACTAATGCAGATCAATACCTGCCTTTCAGCTTATAGGCAGGCAGTAGACTTGCCTGGGCATTGAGGAATTAGGTGATTCAGCCAGGGTCACCTTGAGACGTCTAGGTGGTGCCACAGTACACAGAGTGCTGGGCTTGGAGTCAGGAAGACTCATCTTTCTGAGTTCAAATCTGACCTAAGACATTTCCTTGCTGTTCAACCCTGGTCAAGTAATTCCACCTTATTTGCCTCAATTTCCTCATCTGTAAAGTGAGCTGGAGATGGAAATGGCAAACTCCTCCGGGATCTTTGGTAAGAAAACCCCAAATGGGGTCATGGAGAGTTGGACGCGAATGAAATGACTCAACAACAAAAATCCAGGTCACAGCCAGGGTATGCTGAAGACAGGACTTGCACCCAGGTCTTCTGTCTTCCTGACTCCAGTCCGGTTCTGCAGATGCCATGCTATGCTCTTCTCCTTCCATGGACTTCTCTACCTCGTTCAATCTGGCCTTTGTTCTCATATTTCAATGAACATTTTTTTCTAAGGTTGCCAATGGCATCTCAATTGATCAATATGATGTTTTTTCACAGGCCTTGTCTCTCTTCATTTGAACACTGTCAACCAACTGCTCCCCCCCCCCCCCCACCCCCCCCCCTCCCCCCTCCTCCCTTGGTCTTCATGATGCTTCGTTCCACTGGTTCTCCTCTTATGGACCTGAAATCTTATCAGTGTCTCCTTCACGGGATTATCCACGTTTCACCTTCTAACCACAGGCATCTGCAGATGTTTCGTGCTAAGCCTTCACATCTTCTTCCTCTCTATTCTCCTCCTAGTGGATTTCTTCAGCTCGAATGGCTTCCATTATCATCTCTCTGATGATGACTCTCTAATCTTTACATATCCAGGCCCAGACTCTCTCAAGAGCTGCAGCCCAACATCACCAACTACCTTTCTGTCTCCCGGGATGTCTCATTGATCATTTAGACTCAACTTGTCCAAAACAGACCTCATCTGTCCTAGTCCCTAAAACCTCTGCTCTTCCAGACTTTGCTGTCATCATTCCAGTCACCCAGGTTTGCAGCGTTGGAGCGATCATCCACTCTGTGCTTTCCCTCCCCATCCCTTCCCCATATCCCAGAGTTGATGAGTCTTGATAATTTTACCTCCACAGCATCTCTCATGTCTGTACTCTTCTCTCCACTTACAAGACCACCAGTGTAACTCAGACTCTCATCACCTCTGAGATCGTGTTCCTCCTGAGACTCCTCAGGGGCTCCCTATGACTTCTAGGACAAAATGCAGATGCCACAGCTTGGCATTTAAAGACATGACCCTAGACTCCTTGTTACTCTTCTTCCCACAGTCAGTACAGGGGGCACATCTGTTGTTCCTGTGGTCCCTCAACCCTCACTTTTGCCCAAGGTGCCTCCCATGGGCTGCCTGCCTGCCGTTGGTTCTTTGAACTTGAACCTCTCTCAAGGTTCAACGCAGGGGCTCCATCCTATGGACAAAGACATTTCTGATTCTTCTAGTTCAGGAATTCTTCACTTTGCTGTATCCTGGACCCCTTGGCAGTCAGTCTGGTGAAATCTATAGACCCTTTCTCAGAATCATAATTTTAAATTTAAAATAAAAACAAAATACATTGGATTATAAAGGAAATCCATTATAATTGAATACAATTATAAAAATATAAAAAAAAAATCAAATGCACAGGCCCCTCAGCTAAGAACCTCTGATAATCATTAGCTTTCTTTCCACACTAGAATTATTTGTATTTACTTATATGTGCCTCCCCTCTCCCCCAGAGTATATGCTCCTTGAGATCAGGGTCTATTTAAAAAGAATCTTTGTATTCATAGCATGGAGTCGCTGCCTAATGAATGCTTGTTGAATCAGATTAAATTGAAAGAGCTCTGCTTGCTGTATGACCTTCAGTGAGTCATTGGACTTCTCTGGGCCTCCACTTCCTCATCTGTGAAATGAATGGGCTGGTCAAGATCATCTTTGTGTCCTTTTTGGCTGTAATAAAACATGAAAAAACTAAGGAACATTTGTTTACATTCAAACTATGCTGTGTTCTTTGGATTTCTATGGTCTTCATAAAGACCAAAAAACTCACTTTGCCAATTGTCTATTTAAGGCACTGCTGACCCACCTTCCAGAAATACTTCCACCCAACAGGTTGTCATCACCATGCAAAGGATAGTTGGACTTCCACCATAAAAAGAAGTTCTATTCATTTTAATTTTCACAAATCAGTCAGAAAGTAACTCTGAATATGCTACTCTAAAGGGAAAGCCACAATCACCATCTCTTTCCCTTTTTGGCCTTATGGATAGAGGGCTGAACCTGGAGTCGGGAAGAAATCAACTCCTTCCTCCACTATTTATGAGCTGTGTGATCTCCTACAAGTCTCCTGCCCTGGCTGAGCCTCAATGTTCTCATCTGTAAACTGGGGATCATAATGCCTGCAGTCTCTACCTCAGAGACTCGTTGTAAGGTTCAAATGAGAAAAGGCTGGTCAAAGAACTGACAGATTTCAAAATGCTTCAAAAATACCAATTATTATTGTTGCTGTAACTGAACTGTGCATACACAGTATTTCAAGATGAAATCACTCGTCCTAACTACTAAGAGTTCTTTTCAAAAAAGAAAGCTAGATGCTACCTATGGCTCATTCTTTTTCTGTGGTATAGAGCAGAGGGCTCCAGCTGATGGCTCAGATGTTTGTGAGGCCATAGTTTTAGAGAAGAAAAGGGCCTTCAGCATCTTCTCCTCTGACCCTTCATTTTACAGATAAGGACGCAGAGTGGTCAGCATGATCTACCCATGGGAGTGTAGGAAGTTAGTGGCGAAACTGAGATTTGAACCCTGATCCTTGGCTTCCTTCTCCAGCATGTGTTTAGCACGTTGAAGCACTGGCCTCCTAAATACTGGAGGGGTCAATCTCCCAAGCAGGGCTCTTGTCTTTGGTTGGCGGGGTTCCAAGCTGGTTTAATGGGATAATGGTGGGGGAAGAGGCAAAGCTAGGAGCAGTGTGGTAATGCACTTAGTACAGTACCTGGTATATAGGAGGTACTCCATAAATGCTTCCTGCTCAGAGGTTTCCCATATAAGCTCCTCAAAAGGAGGGACTGGTTAGGTCTGGCTTCTGTGGCTCCAGCACATGGTGTTCATAGCACATGGCACTTAATAAATGCTTGTTGATTGACTGATCAGTTCTAGTTGCAGATCTGCTACTGATGAGCTGTAGGCATCACACCAGTCACTTAACACCCTTAAGAGGCTCAGGCAGACCTGTCCCCTCAGACAGTCCCTTGCGTGTCTCAGTTTCTTGTTTCCTCATCTGTAAAGTGTGTGTGTGAGTCGGGGGTGGGGCAGGGCGTTCAGCTCAGTGCTCCATCTCTAAATCTCCCAGTGCAGAGGATTGCTAAAGGCCCTTCCAGCTCTGACTTGCTATGATCCCATGGTTCTTTCTCACAAAAAGCTTTCCAAACAGCCACAGGACTTTTCTTCTTAAAACACAGTTCCTCTAATGCAAATGCCCAGTTTCTCCCCGAGCTGGGGGGGGGGGGGGGCAAGAGATCTCCTCGTCACAGAACCCCAGAGTGCCAGAGCTGGAAGGAGCCTGCCCGTTGGGCTGCCCCGACCCTCCTGCCCGTGCTCTCCCTTACCTGTCCTTGCCAGTTTCCCGTTTGAAAAGCTCGTCAAAGTGCAGCATCTTGTGCCGCGTGATCATGAAGACTTTCAGGCGTGGGAGGAGCTGGTTCAGGAGCTGCAGGTTGTTGTAGACCAGCCCTTTGCCATCCCTCCGCATGTAGCTGCTGGGCCCCCAGAAGATGAACACCGTCCCCTGGCTCGTGTTCAGGAGCTCCTGCCGCTTGTGGAGAATCCTCTGGATGCTGGAATGGGCGATGACTCGAAGGCTCGTTTTGTTGCCCACGTCCCGGCCGTAGCCGCGGGTGGGCGCGTCGTTCATGCGGATCACGCACTCCGTCTGGTCGATGCGCTCTCCCTGGCGGCTGCCCAGGAGGTGGCCCGAGCTCGTCACCAGGGCACAGTCCTTGCAGTGCATCTTCAGGGACTGTAAAGCATCAGAGAAACAAACGGGACGTTAATGGGAGGAGCAGGGGGCATCCCCGGCAGAGAGGGGGCATTGTCGGGCGGCTGGCAGCAGCTGAGGGAGGTCAGGGCTGTTCAGGAACCACTGATGAGGTGCTAGGCATGGGCTTGTAAATGTTTAACAACCAGGTCTCCTGAAAAAAAAAAAGTATTCAGGACACACTTTTCGTTATTAACAGGCATCATTAACATTTTCTCCCTCAATTTCTTAAATCAAGAGAATGAACAGAACAATCCATTGGGCCTTGATCTGTAGCACTTGCCAGTTTCCAAGGTGCAAACGCTCACCCTGAAGACTTAGCAATTGCCTCTCCCGAGAAGGTGGGATCTGCTGCCCGTACAGCCCTTTTAAGTGACTACTATGCACAAGGTACACAATGTGTGTCAGAGTAAAACCAGAAGAACCTGCACTCAAGTTGTGCTTCCTACATGCGCTCTGTCTGCATGACCCTATGCAAGTCAGTCAACATGTCAGGGAGCCGGGTAGCTCGAAGCCTCAAAGCTTCAGAGAGTGACCAAGGCCTTGGTAGAAGTTTCCTTCCATGGGCATTCCTTATGCCAATTAAACCTCAGACCCAGTCCCTGTCCTCTCTCTATTCCCCAGATTCAGAGCTGGAGGGGCTTTCAAGGTAGTTCAGTCCAATCGTTTCCAGTTGCAGACAATAAGGCCTAGAGTGAGGTGGCTGGATGAGGGGTATGTGAGTGTGACAAAGTAGTTCATGATATTCTTTCAGCACAGATGAAGATATGGCTGGCCAGATGGTCGGTGGCACAATGAGATGAATATAGGCTTAATTGGACAGACTCAAAAAGTAATCATCAATGGTTTAACATCCACTCAGAAGGAAGTCCCCAGTGGAGTGTCCCAGGGATCTGTGCTTGGTCTGGGACCATTTTTCACTTCTCTCCATGACTTGCTTAGATAAAGTCATGGATGGAACGCTTATCAAATTTGCAGATGGCACAGAACTGGGAAAAGTAGCGAACACACTGGATTTCCTAATTACCACATCCCGTGGTCTCTTCTCTGCCTTCATCTTCTTGACAATTACACTGCTGAATGACCATGACACACCAGTTGATTCTTAGATCTTTTCAATCACCCCTTCATGATCTCCTTTTCATTTTGTTATCCACATCATACCCCAAACTGTAAGTATCTCCTCAAGGTTCTGTCTGTCCTAGGCTCTCTTCTCTCTCTGCTACTTCTCATGGGTTTAAATATCATCTCCATGAAGACACTTCTCAGTTCTACATGTCTAACCCCAGGCATCTTGAATCTATCAGTTTCAGATGCCAACTTGCATTGGTAGAGGGAATTTTCTCACATGGGAATCCCAGGTGTGGTCCCTGTTTCTATTCCTATGTTTAAACCATGTACTGGGGATAAAAAGACAGGAACAAAACAGTCCCTGCCCTCAAGGGGCTTCTATTCTACTGGGAGAATCCAGCATGTTCACAGATAAAGACAAATATGCACAAAAAAATTTTCAGGAGAATGGGGGAAATACACTTACAAGCGGGAGAATCAGGAGAGGAGACACAGGACTGTTCTCTTGTTATCCTAATACTCTCTCTACTTCCAAAACCCAAGAGCTGCAGATTTTGACAAGGCAGTGAATTCTCACACTTTAGATTTCTGGATTGTTTCTTGTAAGGCTCAAGTTACTCAACTCTTAGCCTCCATTTCCTCCTCTGTAAAGTGGGGACAATAGCACCTACCTCACAGGGTGGTTCTGAGGATCAAGTGAGATAGCACATGTAGAGTGCTTGGCTGGCCTTCAAGTGTGTGTTTTTATTATTCATTGAAGGTCTGGCACATGGCTGTGGGGTTCAAGAAGCTGGCTGTGTTTGACCATAAATACTTGGGTGAATAAATGAGTTAGATTCTGTCCAGGCTTCTCTTATTATTCTCTGGGACTGGTTTGTGCAGCTTGATTTTTAAATTTCTGGCCAGAGAACATGACCTCTCTGACCTTGCCCTGTCTTTTCCCGCCTCTAGGCCTTTGTCCTTGCCTTTCCCCATGCCTGGAATGGTCTGTTCCCACAGCTCCAACAGCTGTTATTTCATTGGTGAAGGGAATGTCTGGTCCACCAGTGCAGGCCGGCACTGACTCTGCAGGTTAGTCCTAGAGAGTTTTCTGGGGGCACCAAGAGGCTACCTGATTTGCCAGAGCAAATATATATGAGTGGTTGGACTTGAACCCAGATTTTCCTGACCCTCCAGCCAGCTCCCTACCCACCACAGCATACTGCCTTCCACCTTCCACTGCAGTTATCTACTCAAATCCAGAAGAAGGCCACTGGCACTTTGGGCGTTCCCCACAGTGTCATTTGGGAGAGAAGGCAGGGTTTGCTTTTGATGCATAATGATGGATTGGGGGGAGGGATATGATGGATGAAATGGATTTTTGGAAAAAAGTAAAATCTTCCCTAGATTATAAGCCCTTTGAGGGCAGGCACAATGCCTCATTCATGTTGTGGCTCTCCTAGCAACTTGCACAATTCTATGCATGAAGTGGGCATCTATCCAATGTTTGGGGGCTCTCAGTGTCAAAAATCTACTGTATAATATGAAGAGGGAGCTTGGTGGAGTGGGCAGGGCCTGGAGTTGAATCTGGAAGACCTGCGTTCACATCCTGCCTCTGTCTCTTACTAAGTCTGTGACCCTGGGGCAGACATTTAATATCTATCTGATTCTGGTAACACCCTCAATTTAGCTTCCCAGTCAGAGAAGACTAATGTAGTGGGGGAGCCAGTTCTCACACCTGGAGCTCCCTCACGAACCATCATGATCCTTTGATATTATGTATTACAGATCCTTTGATATGTCCATATTACAGAATCCCTGTTTGGGTTAAGATGCCTTTTCTCCAAGGTGGAAGATGAGTGCTGGATTTGGATTCCAAGCACCCCATTTCAAACCCAGCTCACTTCTCCTTAGGGTTTGGCACATCCCTGGGTCTTGGTTTCTCATCTGTAAGATGAGAGAGTTGGGCTAGAAGTCCTCAAGGGTCCCCTTCAATCCTAAATCGAGGATTCTTTGATTAAGACTATGTGGGAGATGATGCCCCTTGTACTCTGTGCCTTCTTTTGCCATGGACAGCTGGTGGGTGTTTTCCTGAAATCGGTGGTATCTGAGGCACAATGAGACAAGGTGTTCCACCTGGGCCGATCTACCCAGAGCCAGGGTCAGAAGCACATCTGAGAATTCTGGCTTCCCTTCACTAATCACAAGACAATATGAACACATGCATTTTGGGAGCTGGGGACCAAGGAGGACTCCAATGGCAAAGCTAATTTCAACATCCTGGCACACAAACAGTTTGATTTAGGAATGCCTAAGTATGTCAAATCAAACATTTCCTTGTTCAGGTTCAGTGGGAAATATCGTTTACTTGCTGTTTGAAGATAATATAATCAGGGCCTGTGGCCAAGACCAACAAGGCCCAGACAGAATAACGATAGGAAGCCTTGGAGAAGACGACTGGGTTGTTTGGGGAGTTTTACAAAGTGGCATCTGTCAGTAACTCCAGCCTATTGCCAGAAGGCCACGGGGCCAAGGGAAGAGGCCACCAGTCTGGGACGTAGAGGAATAGTGCTAGAACAATAGAACCTTAGCCTCAAAGGGGACGATAAAGCTCGCCAAGTCCAACTTTCCAATGGCTACAAGAACTCAGAAGCCCAGAACCTCAGAACTGAGGGCGCTCCAAGACCAACTAGTCCAGCCAGGACCTGTCCAGGTACATTCTGCCACATCCCTGACAAATGGCCACCCAGGCTTTGCTTGACTCAGCCCATTCCATTCTTGGTCATTTTTCCCTCTGTTGACCTAGAACGGGCTCCTATCTCTCCCATCCCATGGCTCCTGGTTCTGCCCTGTGGGGACAGGCAGCAGCTCTGATTCCTTTTCCACAAAACATCCATCTGAATCACTGAAAAGAGCTATCCTAGCTCCTTATGTCTCTGCTTCTTCAGGTTAAATGTCTTTAGTTCCCTCAATTCATTGTCATCCAGCACATTTTCCCAATCTCCGCACCACCATTCTGGTTAATTGTAAATTTTTTCAATTGAAAAGCAGAGGTTCTGCCTCAGAAATTTAGATTCTCTGAAATTCTCTGAAATCACTAACAGGTTGTGATCTGTGATCTGCACCCACATCCATGGCATCTCAAGCCCTTGGGTACTGAAGAATCAGGTTCAATTGACCAAACATTTAGAGCAGAGGGGAGAGAGCCCTGGATGTGGAGTCAAGTCCTACCTACTCACTAACCCTTTGTGTGACCCTGGGTAAGTCCTTTAACCTCCCTTGGCCTCAGTGTCCCAATCTGTAACAGCATCTACCCCCCAGGGTTATTGTGAAACTCAAATATTCTGAGCATGTTATGCACATAGTAACAAGAATAGCAAGTGTTTATTTAGCACTTTAGGGTTTGCAAATAGCCTTACATTTGTTATCTCATTGAGTCTCACAACAAGCCTGAGCAGAAGGGGCTAATCTTGGCATAATAGTCCATTTTGTAGATCAGGAAACTGAGGATGAGAGAGGTTAAAGTACTTACCTAGGATCACACTGGTAGCATCAGAGGCAGGATTTGAACCCAGGTCCTCTGACTGGAGAGTCAGGGCTCTTTCTGCTATATCTATATCATCCATATCCATATCCATCTATAACTATACATCTCTATATCATTTATATCCATATTCATATCCACATCTATATCAATCTCTATTTCATCTATATCTATACTATCTCTGTCTTTGTACCTATATCTATCTATATGATATCTATCTATCTATCTATCTATCTATCTATCTATCTATCTATCTATCCATCCATCTAGTCTCCTCCAATAGAATGTAAACTCTTTAAGGACAGGGACTGATTCACTTTTGCTTTTACATCCCCAGCACTTCGCCTAGTGCTGAGTACATAGTAGGTGCTTTATCAATGCTTGTTGA